CTAAATAATACATTACATCATTTAATACGTTTTTAATATTATACCATATATTATAATGGCTATATTTGTTCTATCACAAACAAGATAATTTTTTAACTTTAACAATATAAATATTTTATCACCGCTCCCAACTTGTGCACTGGCTTTCCTACATTTTCTTCTCAGATTCTAATATACTTTCTTTCACATAAAGAAAACATAAATATTTATTCCCATACTACAAATGCAGAAACCAAGGTCCCAGGGAGAAAAATATCTTTCCCATGATAGAATGGCTAGCAAATGGCAGGGTTTGAAATGCTTATTTTTTTTTAAGTCTGATGTATCTGATTCATAGGCCAGTGCTTTTCCTACCATTCCATGTGCATTTGAAATAGTACATTCATAACTTCTTCCATAAGTCATGACCATTCACCTCTTAATAAACTTGTGGGTGACCTGTGCTGCACTTTATTTCCTGTATTTACACATCTGAATTGTCTTTATTTAAGATTTTCTCTATCTAGTTTTACAGGCTCAACTGCCAATATCCATCCATCTGGTTCAGAAGTCTACCTGTTCTTTTCTAATCTTATCTCTAATAAAATTCTCCTGTATCACTATCACATTTATTCATTGAGGGGATTAGGAATTCTTTTTCAGAATGTGGGAAAGGAAATAGGAAAAATAGAGAATCAAGATGTAATTATCCTGCATAGCAATTCAAAATTGGTTTCCAGGACTCTTTCACACACTTGTTTTATGACCACTATAATAAGCTATTCCTTAAACTAATTTAATATCTATTACATCATATGAGGGGGAATCATTATTGTATTCTAATTTCACACAATTGATTAAATCTGCTTAATTCTTTATAAACTTGGACTTTAAGTGAACTAGCAACTATAGATTTAAAATTTTATAATAATCCTCCTAGGAAGAGCTGAGGTAATAACTAAAAGCTTATTATATATCATTTGTTTAGTTCAAAATTAAGAATTTGCAAAAATTTTCTATTTTTGAAGTTGAAAATTATTTGGTACTCAATTCTTGCAATTTCCAAAGTTTACTATTTCTCTTATTATGTATTCAAACACATTTATAAAACTATATTCATTTGTATCATACAAATGACTTAAAGCTTTTTTCTTGTATAAATCATCTCAAAATTATACTCAAATGCAACCCCAAAAAAGAGCAATGAAGAAAATATATCAATTATAAACTGATACTATAATATCTTTATATAGCAACTTTACATCTATTTTTATTAACTCTTATTTTCTTTCCCTGTCCAAAATTCTGCTTGTTTATCAGAAACTCAAAATCAAAATCTAACTGCCTAAAGTGTTTTTTCACTAAACCAGAACACTGGTTACTTTGGAGCTTTTACAAGTGTTGCAAGTTCTCACAAGCATTAAACCTATATAGCATCTAAACATTAATGAGGAGCCTAAAACTCTTTTCTTCATATCTAGAATTTTAAGCAAGTGTCATTGAACACATTAATCTATTTCCTACTTAATTCTAGCAACATGATAAGAGCCTTATTCTTTTTACACCGAACAGAGAAATAGAATTAGCAATCAGTTTCTCTAAGTGACAACAAAGGAAACCAAATGACTACCATTTCTCCTTCAGTTTACACAAATATATTTTGACCACTTATAGGGCCTTGACGTCTTGCAAATACTACTTTGTCTGTGTGTTTTCCTTCTCTTTAAACTACCATTGCTCTTGACAAAGTAATGCCCAAATTAATGTCTGATTTTAATTGACCTAGTACCAGGCTCTTTGGTGCTGGCATCCCAACCATTTCCAGCCCAGCGTGTGTGTATGCACACGTGATGTGTGTGTATACATGTGCGTTCCCTTGTTTCTTCACAACAGTGAAAGAAAAATCTAACAGACCTTAAGGCCAATTCAAAACTTACCTTGCAAATCTGGAAATAGTCTGAAGTCAGGCTTTCCTGAATCTCCTCTCTGAGAGCCCCTGCAGTCCCTCCTGGATGAACGGAGCCACTTCCAACCCCTCCACTGTTACTGCTGCTACCACTGCCAGGGGAAGAGGCAGTTAAGCCATCCAAAACTTTTCGAAAATTAAACTTCTTCATTTTAAACACTGTTGAAAAATTAGAGAGAAAGAGGAGGAGTGACAAACATGGAAATCATACGGGGCAAAAGCCTTTATCTTTTCAATAGTCAAGACGGGAGTAGCTAGTCCCCATTTTATGAGCACTGGATGTAATATAGTGGAGACTGGGGCTCGGGCTTCATTTTGTCGAATTTTAACTTTAAAAAGCATGTCTTTATAAAATAAAGAGAACACAACTCCGAGAGCAACAGTATTCCATCTTCACACATCAGATTTTCAAGGGCTTTATCCCCAGCTGTAGCTATGCTTTATCAGCACTGGGGTAAAAATAAAAGGCAGTGTCATCATCGTCATTAGCATTATATCATCATTATTATACAATCAAACCAGAGCCCAACAGACCAAGACCCTCTGGACGGTTCTGAAAGGGGGCTTTCCTTCTTAAGGGTCAGCTCCGAAATTTTTATTATAAGAAAAAACGATGTTGTGAGGGAGCCAATATTTACTCTGCCACCATGTTCGGGGCTCTCCCCCCACCCCCTGCAAAATCATTTTAAATGCTCTTTCTCAATAGGAATTGGGGGATAGGGCAAAAAATGGCTTTTTCCATCCCATATTCCCCAAAACCCGGACCCCAAAACATCTGAGGGTGACTCACGACCACAGCCGACGGGAGGGGTGAGCGGGGGGACCGCCTGCCTCCACCTGTCCCCGTCTCCTCTCTTCTGCCCCTCTCCCGCTCCTAGTCTCCGGTGTCCCCTCCCCGCCCGGCTCCCCTTCTGCACAGCAGCGGCTCTCGGGGGATGTGAGGCGGCAGTGACGCCTGCGGCCCGA